ATTCAGCAGCAAGGGAGCTTGTTACATTGTATTCCGGCAGGTCCAGACTAAACATTCTTCTTTGAGATTAAAAAAACAAAAAGAGTTAATGCCATTTTTATTTATAAAGGAATTCTGAGAAAAAACTTGAAGCACTTGGCAGATTTTAATCTAAATAATCCTCACATTAAGCTCTGGAGTGAGGTTACACAGAGGCCTATTGTTCAAAGTGGCTAATAGTGAGAGGCCACAAAAGAATTACTTTGTATTCAGAGAATTACTTTGTATTCAGTTGCTTCTCCTCCAGGTTTAATTCATCAATGTCATAATATTCTTAGAAATCGAGGTAGGATAACTATAAACTATTTGTGAGTTAATAATCACTAATCATTATGAGGAATGCTGAGCTCACTGCTAAAACTTGCCTTTTTCTGTTCTTCCAGTGTCTTTTACTTAAAAAAAAAAAAAAAAGAAAAACAAACGTGTTTGCTCTTTAAACAACTAGCTAGACATTTATGTTAGAGGAGGATGGAAAGCTGTGTGTGGACGACTTATGATTAAAATATTTTACATGAATCAGACCACAAGTATTTCCAGGGCTCCTACCAGAAGTGTGACATTAGGTACTACGGATACAAAAAACAGTTTAGACTATAATCTTTGACAATCAGCTTCAAACACACCCTTGCTTTGGGCTTTAACTCGGGTGCCTTGGTCTCAATCTCCGTGTAGCAAAGTCAACAAGGGATCTCTTTTGATCTTACGTAGGACAAATATCAGTTCCTACCTTTCACCCCAAGAAATGAGCTCAATAATAGTGTGCTGCTACGGGGTCATAGAGAATGGGGGGTGGGTGCAAAATCAGAAGCTGTACCTGGTTCTCTAAGTTCCCAGGTAGCTCTTATCTGTGATGACACACTCCCTCTTCCACCTTCATCTTCAAATGTCCAGCTCAGTTCCTGCCTTCCAGACTTCACAGTGGAATGCTTACACCCTCAACCCCGTCTTACCATTTATCCCCCTAACCATCAAGCAAGTATAGAGAAATACTAAGCAATATTTCGTTTTTTAAAAAAAGCATAAGAAAACAAACAAGTTATTAAGCAGTGAACTCAGCTGCCCACAGATCTGGCTTTCAGGTTGATTTGCCCCACTGGAAAGATGCCCTGCGGTTAAGGATCCTCCTATATCTCATACCCATCCTAGGAGGAGGCTTTCTCGAGGCTTTCTCTTATCTCATTTGGGCCCTTCCTGCTTCCTCCCTTGGGGGAGGTTTCAAACTGAAACCAGACATTCTGTTAACAGAATACCTCCCACAGAATGCATGTATTATGTCGCTCGCTGTGTGTCACTTCATTATCAGTATTCATATGCATCCAACAGCATCCATGTGCTGAAAAGGAGAACACAATCCAACACAACCTATGGGACCCTTTTGTGGCCACACACTCTGAAAAGAGAAAAGCACTCTAGAGAAAAGCATTCCAGAATGCGCAGTCTTGAACCTGTTGGCTAAGTGTTTCAATTTTTAAAAACTTTTTCTGTTCCAAATTTTAAAAACTTTTCCACTTTTTTTTTTTTCAGACTTATTTCCAAGGAGGAATTTCCCCAGGATGTAGAGGCCTCACTGCTCTTGGTGTTCTCTGAAGAATCTTGTTATTCCCAGGGCTCTAAATGCTTTTCTTCAGGAGGTTTCATTTGTTCACAGAAAAAAAAAAAAAATAATAACATGGAAGACAATGCAGTAATTATTGAGTCTGAGCACTAAAACCATCTGGAATTGAGTTTCTGCTCTGTTTCTTATGATCTTGATCAAGACATTTAGCAATCTGAGACTGTGCCTTTACCTATGTAGAAATAATACCTGTCAATGATTGAGCACTTACCAAGTGCTAGAACGTATGTATCCTGTTTGACATGATTGTAGTCTTAATCACAGTCTTATGAAGTAGGTACTATTATCATCTACATTTGATAGGCAAGCAAAAAAGAGATTAGTCTGCCAGAGACTATTGAGTGGTGAATGGTAAAGCCAGGATTCAAAGATAAGCAATGTGACTCCAAAAGCCATGTTCATAATCACTACCTCCTCCCTAACCATGTTTAATAACTCGCTGAACTAATATAAGTCATCCCTGCATAGCACCTGCCGCATACAAGCAGGTCCTAAGTAAATACTAGCTGTTTTATAATGTTTAGCTTTGCTACCAAGAGATAGCTAGGGCAGAAAACAGTTTTTGATATAGATTTATGTCTCCCTCAGCTATGTTTCTTTCGGCTATACCAGCAAGGTCTCTGGAATTATCTAAACAAGCTACATATTATGCATCACTTCGCTGAAAGATAGGCCAAATGGTTGGTGAAATTTCTCATGTGTTACAAGGAAAAAAACAATCTTCAGCCTGGAGATTTTTATATGGGGCATATAAAGCCTCCTATAAAAGGATGCATACTGAGTAATAGCTAGAAGAATTGTAGGCCATGTTGATAAGAGAGTCGTGTTTCAGCAGCTTGTCTGTTGTTATGAACACCAAACACAGAGAAATAGGGCTATACGTGTGGTTATGTTCCATGCCTATTGACAGAAGGCTATTTGACCCATTTGAATGGATGATGATATGTCATGCAATTGGTATAAGGGCAGGCTTAGGAACAAGACCCCATGTGATGGAAGAAGAAGAAAAAAAGAATGAAAGAGTATTTCCAGGTTCTGAAGAAATTTGAAATATAGCATATTCAACTATCTATTGATGTTTAAAAAAAAAAACAAACCCAGAATGTATCCTGAAACAGCAGACAGTCATTATCTTATGTGGACATTCATTATCTCACGTGTATCACCTGCATGTGGCCTAGCTGGGTAGTTCTGGCCCAGGACTTTGGTTGTCCTGAGTGAACTCATCCAAAGGACTTACTAGTCAGGGCTGGAGGGCCCACCGCTAATGGCTCACTCGCCCGGCAGTTGATGAGGCCAAGCTAGTTCTCATATACCTTCCCATAGCACCAGGCAAGTTCACCGTGATGTGGTAGTCTCCTCACGGTGCAAGAGATCCCAGAGAGAGGAGAAGAAAGTAGCTGTCATGCCTTTTATGACCTAGTCTGCTAAGTCACAGTCGCTTCTGCCATAGTCTACTCAGTACAGGGCATATGCCATGACTAAGTGCTGTCTGCAAGTAAAAGGAGGGGAATTTAACTCTGTCTCCCAAGGAGCAGGGCTATCACAGAATTTATGGACACAGCTTAAAATTACCGGAAAATTTTTATCATCGTCATATCACTTTCTCCAGGATCCAGTGAGACAAGAGTAAAAACAAAACACAACACATAACTCCAGCCCTCCTCAATACAGCTTGCTGTAAATGGCCCCAGACAACCCATGCTTTTATTTCAACTATTCTTGAGACATTCACATCCTACTACCTTGAGGTTGTATTCGAGAGACTCTGATGACACTCCTGAAACACTACAGGCAATAAAACGGGACATTAAAAACAAGAGAACAATATATTCCTCTGATATTTGGAGCCTCGGAGAGTAATCCCCTGGTAAGCTCTCTCCCTTTGGCTATGGCCAGAGTGTCCTGATTGAAGAAATTCTAGGTGATAGTCTTCCCTTCCTGTTTTAGGGGCCCTAACTTGCTCTCACGCCTGGAGAGGGGGCGGGGTGGGGGGTGGGGGTGGTGACGGGACTTAGGAATGAGGGATCACTCTGGAACCCAAAAGTAGCCAGTGCTCTCACACAGGATGCTAAGTTGTCAACAGAATCTTCAGAACAAAATGCTTCACGTGATTTTTATTGTATTTTTTATGAGGGGTAATTTAGTAAGATATAAAGACTTTTAAAAATACAGTTTTTGTAAACACTGGGAAAGTAGGAGCTTGCAGGACGCCATAGGTAGGCTGGAAGTGTAGCACCACGCGTGAGGCCCTGGATTAGAACCTATGAATCTCAAAAGGAAGGAAAAGTAGAAGCCAGGGATTTGCACATTAAATAGAATTCTCCCAACAATGTTGTCTTTAATCTTGCGTCTTGAGGACATTTGAGAACGTGATGAAAGACAAGGAAAATAAGCTCGCACAATTTTGCCCAAGGAGCGTAGCAATGAGGGAAGACACGTTTGCTGAGAAACAGTAAACATAAGGCAAGCCATAGAACTACTCACTGACCCTCATAGTCTTGTCCTAGCCTTTTGGCCAAGCTAAGCGGCAAATTTTGCCAGTTTGGCAGAAGAAAGGGTACCAGGATTCCCAGTTTGTAAGAAAACACTAAACGGCATTTTCCACAGATCATCCATAACCAAGATCGGACTTAAGATTCCCGAGTCCCATCTCCAGTGGAGGGAATTCCGAGCAGTGACACCCAGCCCCGGAGGGACCTTGGCGTGGCACAGCGGGATGGGGTTGTGGGGGCGGGGGGGACTCAGAGCGCACAAGACCCCGGAGAGGGAGAGGCGGGGCGGGGCCAGGGGAGACGGGGCGGGGCGGGGCGCGACGCGTGGCCACGCCCCTCGGCGCGCCCCCCAGCGGCGGCCTGCGTGTCGGCGCCGACCCCTCCCTCG